AACTTCATGATTTTAGCTCTGAAGTCGCTAGAATGCTCGCCGCTGCTGTACACTGCCCATGGACGAGTTTCCCTCTCCTTGTGGTCAGTTTCAGAGTTCGCGGTTCAAACGATGCGCCAGCGAATCGAAGTCATGAGAACTACGATAATCCCTCATATTAGCGAGTACTCTCGCCACTTTCCCAAGATCTCATCCCTTTGCGAGCTCAGAAAAGTGGTTAGAGTCAAAGTGCAAATGCGAGGTACTCTCGCCACTTTGCCATTGTTCGTGCTTGACACGAGTCTACCATGGGCTCGCTCTGAATAAGGTCGATCTACGGCTCCAATAATGTGCCAGCGTCACGAGGGTTTTTACTACGTGCCCCACGATTCGTTATAGTCTGACACAAGGAAAGTTGGCGTTTCGTCATAAGCACCGAAAAAGGTTGAGGTGAGCGGGTTCAGAGCATACATAGTGTACATTCCATTACAGCAAATATCGGTAACTACTACTACGGTCAAGGACATGTGATGAAGCCACACAGGATACGGATGACCCATCACCTTCTGTTAAATTACGGTGTATATCGAGACCTTGAAGTTTATGTGAGTTCTGTACTCTTTGAAAATTTTTGTAGTATTTTCAGAAAATCGGTCCACGTTTTCGTTATTTCGGCATGTGAAAATTCAGTGGGTACTGTTTATCTCTTCATTAAAGTAAATCCAATGCATGCTTTCAGCGGCCGTTCCCTGCAACATTCGAGGAAATGACTCGATTTCATAGCGAAGAATATATGAGCTTTCTAAAATGTGCTAGCCCAGACAATCTGAAGCTTTATAATAAGCAGATGCTCAAGTGTGAGTAAAAGAATCCACGCACTCTTTACTTCGCTCTGATTACCGATAATCAGAATCTTATTCCAGTCAATGTTGGGGAGGATTGTCCCTTGTTTGATGGCCTATACGAGTTCTGTCAGCTGAGTAGCGGTGGATCTCTAGGTAAGTTTCTACCCAATCTTGCAATCCTTAGCCTTTTTTTACCGCCTACATAATAGCTTGATGAATAAGCTAAACACAGTGCCCAGAAATAGTGACATATCAGTGCCGGACGGTTGGCAATCAAGCCTTCTTAGCAGCGTTCACAGTTTACGGGGTGTGGTTTACTAGGACAGAAGGCGACTTTTTCGTGTTTTGCAGCGCCAAACATTTTGCTGCGGGAACCTCGGGTCTACTTGTGTGATCACCAGTGGACATGAGGTTCCCGCAACGAAAAATGTTACGCGCTGCAGAACGCACGAAAAAAAGCGACGCTCTGTAATCAGCTGAACTACACCTATGTTTTCACGGCCTTTTGGAAATCACGGATAGTAGACGATAGGATTATCACTAAAGTGGGCTTAGGCATTATTGGCTTGAAGTGATTGGATAAGTACTTATTATTACATGACGAGATTTAGAAGGTTAGGCATCTTCATCAAAATCGATCAATGCATATCTAATCATTTCGGCGCGAGTCTCCTTATTTACTGCATCCTAATCTATATGTCCTATATCCTATCCTAATCGAAATCTACTCCTAATCCAAGACTAACGGTGCTAACTTAGTTGGGGGGGGGGGGCCACGCGGCGGCGCGGCAGTCTGCTCACCTGGGCTCTCTCGAACGAGACAGTGTAAACTCGAACATTCCAGCTTTTCACGCATGTCAAGTGACTGCCCCACCCCCCACCCCCCTAGACTGCCTACACTCCCCCTGGCCCACGGATTTCCGAACATGCCAGGCGAGCAGACTGCCGCGCCGCCGCGTGCCCCCCCCCCAACTAAGTTAGCACCCAAATCTGCTAATCTACTACTCTGCTGTTATCCTAATCTTGCGATCTGCTACCCTACAGCGATTTAACGTTTCCGCTTGCAATCGGTGCGACGTCGCGCCTTCCTAATTCGACAGAGACCAGCTCTTAGGAAGTAGTATTGAGGCAAAGCCTGAGTTGATTTCAGCTGCCGCTGTCAAACTAAACAAGAGAAAAGCAGACATCGCCATAAATTGGATGGGTGGCCTTCATCACGCGAAAAAGAGTGAAGCCAGTGGATTCTGCTACACGAATGACATTGTGCTTGGTATTCTCGAATTGCTGAAGTATCACAAAAGGTTGGTATTCATTGTGGATTCTGTTTTGGTCGCTGGTTAATGGTGTTGTTCTTTACAGAGTTCTCTACGTTGATATTGATGTTCATCATGGAGATGGTGTCGAGGAAGCATTCTATACTACTGATCGTGTAATGACGGTCTCGTTTCATAAATACGGTGATTTCTTTCCGGGAACAGGCGATCTAAAGGTGAGTGAAAGATATGTTGTTACTTCTTCAATCTTCCTTTCTATTTCGTATTTGTCCCTGCTCCTTTTATCTACGGGCGCATGCATAGTCGGTCATCTGATCGTAACCGACCGTAACGGTCGCACAGTATTGGATGCGTATCGATCGTCCGACTTGACTGAGTATTCGATGCGTTACGTACCTAACGCTGTGCGACCATCAATCGTTAGGGCGCACGCATAGTCGGTCGGACGACAGCAACGATCGTAACTGTCGCACAGCATTGGATGCGTATCGATCGTCGGACTTGCCTGAGTATTCGACGATTAGATGCAGTTAGACAGTCAGACAGTTGCGATCGTTGCTGTCGGACGACCGACTATGCGTGCGCCCTACGTCGGACGACCGAGCTCTTCTTC